CTGTAAACAACGCTCACCACTAGATCTGAGATTATGCCTGAGACTTTATGCGTGCCACCGACTACTCCTGTACAATTCCATAATGGCCTGAATACATTAAATTTTAATACTTATGAATCATAAAGCAACTAAATTATTCAGTGCAAAAGTTAATCAATTTCATGGAAATTTAATATCAGTTCATTCGTTCACGAGGTATGCATACATCGAGGACGATGGACAAATTAAAAAAAAATAATAATAATGATAAATGAATAAAGATACTTGAGTTTTCTATTAAATTATACCTTCGATTTTGCCAAATGATTTTCTCGTTCTTGTGCAATAATGCGGGTATGTTTGTACACGGAATAGCTATTTGTGCCAATTAACTAGCCCGCAAAGGTGAGAAAAGCACAGAAGAGCGCATATTCACTAGAATTAAGTTGAAAATAACTTTTTCGAAAACTTGGTATACGATTATGGTTTTTATCTTGACACCTATCAAATGAAACCGCTTCAAAGAAATTTGCAATGAAACAATTCAATTCTATGGTTCCAAAAATCAAGTGAAAATTGCTAAAAAAAAGAGAATTTCATCACTATCCGACACGAAATATTTATTAAAAGTTGAAGATTAAAATGAAGATGAATTACATGAACTAAATGAGATTTCATTTGAATAATGGAGTGCAATGAAACAACTTGAAGCATCACACCGACAAACAACCGCCCACAATCTCCTCTGGTCAAACTAGCTCGATGAGTAAATACAATAATTATTGTCAAAAAGGTACGGTCTGGGAAGGACGAGTCTATCGAAACCTGACGAACAATAGGGCGATTCCAGCGATTACCGCACCGAGCACCATAACCTACCGAGTGAAAACACCTGACTTCATATTCATCGCAGTATTTTTTAGACCTGCAGAGGCATGCAGATCAGATTCAACAGCAAATGCAACCGCTGTTGACATCACAGGAACAACAACAGTAATTACAGGAACAATTAATACAACAGCTGCTGAGCCAGAGACCTCTGACATAGCAGTGTTGCAGCAATTGATAACGCATGGAAGGAAGAATCTGGCATCGTGATAGCCAACATAGAGGGGCTCTTCCAACGAAGAAAACGCTACAATATCGGCGTAGTTAGAGAAATTGCTGAAACAGAAGGAATGATCATACTTGCATTAACCGAGGCACGTTTAAGAGAGGATATACGGGATTGGGAAATCAAATGAAAGGTTTTCAACATTACCGAGCAGACCGAAACGAAAAGAGAAAGAAAGGAGGTGTCATTGTCTACCTCAGAAACTCCCTCGCGGCAAAAACAGCGCACCTGCATTTAGGCTCAAATATGCGGAACAATTCCCCATCTCCAACTTTGTATATGTAGCTATTATATACCGGCCGCCCGACTGCCTGCCGGAAAAATACTATGAAACTCTCAGACTGCTGGAAGTCGGAGGTGAATTGTTGGCATAGATCCTCTCCTCAACTTCCTAACCGAAATACTACTAGCTGTCGTTGTTGGAGGCTCGAGATCGAGCGAGGCGAGTGTGAAGAGTGGAGTAACACAGGGAACGTCACTCGGCCCTATACGCTTCCTCATTCACATCGCGTACATACAGTTACACGCACATGTATTGGATACATTACAGTTTTCTTATATTTCAAGTTAAAGTGCAAGATTTTACCTAATATTTGGTCATTATAGCGCTAATGGTACTAGAAAGATTATTTAGAATGGCTATTGAAAAGTAAGCGTTGTTTAGATTTTTTCAACAAAATAGAAAAATTAACTCGCGCAAAAGTATTGGGTACATGTTCAAAAATTAACATGGATAACTTTTTTTAAGGTACTCAAAATTTGCTTTTCCATTTAGACGTTCCACTAATGTCATATCGTTATCGAATTGGCCAATCAGAGCAGTTTTTTATTGTTTACGAGATTTTGTGTTCCGGTGAAAATATTATTCAGCTTCATATTTAAAATTTAATTTAAAATGGCTACAATTCGAGAGTTGGCGACCGCTTTGCGTCAAAAGATCATACATTGACACAAGAAAGGGATGGGGTATCGAATAATATCCAAAGCGCCTGATCTATCATTGGGTATAGTTTGAAATATCATCAGGAAGCAATTATCCTGATGATATCATCCGAGCATGCGTTTGCAAATATTCCAAGACCTGGTCGTACAAGGAAACTGTACAGACGATAATGCAACAGACGATAGCTTATCGATAGCAACAGACGATAGCTTAAGCCTTTCCAACAGACGATAATGCAAGGTGGATTAGCAGAAAGGTACAAATGAGCCCGTTTGTTACTCGTGATGAAATTGAAAGCGTCCTGGACGAAGGTGAGGTTGAAGTAGAAAAGGATACAATCAGCAGAGCTCTAAATCGTTTTGAAAAAAAGCGGTCGCCAACTCTCGAGTTTTAGCCATTTTAAATTAAATTTTATATATGAAGCTGAATAATATTTACACAGGAACACAACATCTTGTAAAGAATGGCAAACTGCTCTGATTGGCCAATTAGATAACGATATAACATTTGTAGAACGTCTGAATTGAAAACCAAATCTTGAATACCATAAAAAAATTTTCACTTCTCGACCATAGTCGAGAAGCGAATGTAAAAATAAGATTGTTTTTCGCTCCACCCAAATGTTCACGAGCACGAGTATTTTTCCAAAACGAATAGTTTAGAATTGACAAAAAACGGTTATTTAAAAACCATTGATGCTCCCAAAAGGAAAGGGACACAACATCCGACGCTCAGTAAACGCATTTTGCTTAAAAAGTAAAAAAAAAATCGTCATTCAATGCAGTGTTCACGATGAACAGCCAAGAATACGGCGCAATTTCTTTCATCGCCATTAGCCTTTCCAGCTAATGAGAGCACCTTGGACAAAAGATGCTCTCGCTTAACAATTATCTAAAAAATTTTTATCTAAATTATCTAAAAAAACAATGATCTCTTAATATTTCAAGTAGGTTCTCGCGGTAACGCTAAGACTAGAAAGGAAACAATCTCAATGAGTTCATAGAGCTAGGAATTGTAATTTATTTTGAGCAGAGCATTCATTTTAAGTTCGGTGAGTGATAACTGTTTCACTTAATTTAGTTATGAAGATCAGCATCGTATACATTTTTAGTTTGTGCCGGTAGTTTAGAATGAAGCGAAAATAGAGAAATTTGAAGTTGTTTAATCTTAAAGTTTCGTCGTCCATGCTGGGTTATTTTTGATCATATGATCAAGTGTCACTTCGCTAGATAATCACAATAATATAGAATAAAATTTTATAAATACCTACACTGAATAGACGAATAAGTTGAACGATCAAAATATTCTACGCTAAAATGTACCAACCTCTATTGGGGATCAGATCAGGATCTTCATCTTTAGTTTCAGCGGCGGCAACTTTACTTTTCGACGGCCGTTTCTTATCTTTCTTGAGACGCACGACGAGCACGGCGACCAATGCTATCAAGACGAGACTCCCGAGGACACCGACGACGCATCCCAAAATTTGGGCGAGAGGCACGTCAGAGAAGTTATTTGCCGAGGGCTGGCCCATCACGGGGGCTATGTGTCGCTCTGTGGAATCTCTGTCAGTGTAGCCTCGCATGATCTTGAATCTTAGGCCTAGCTGTCATCTAATCTATCATGCATATTACTGGTTTGGTATAGATGTTTGTTCTAGCATAGACGTCATCAGTCTTGGCACATGTCCTCTGTTTTAGCATAGATGTCATCTGTTTTTATCCTCTCGGGTCTTTTCAAGCCGCTTGTAACGTGACCTCGAAGTTCGATGTGAACGAGACGCAACGAAAATCTCTTCGTGGAATAATAATAATAATGGATTTTTTATGACGTGTGTAGCAATATATATTTACTCCTGCCGATGGAGATTAAAGAACCAGCGGATAAACCACGTCCTAAATCCTTACTGACAATAAATAGTAAGTATTTGCATCAGCGCCTTAATTGCTCAATGCTATGGAGAAAGTAAGCTCAATTCCTGATCCTGGGGAAAAAGCTTTGTACTAAAACTATTCCTAGAAATCGAACAATAAAACAGTTTTGCGGCATTTTTTTTCATTTTTAATAGAACTTGTCTTGACCCAAGGTAAATCGGAAACAAAATGTGGAATATTTTGCAAAAATTTCCTGCTTCTCTGAGCTATGAGAGGAAATTTTCAAATTGACATTGCCAAATTAGCTGCAAAAACGTAATTTTTGGGCTCTATAAATGTGTAAGAGAAAGAAACTTATTATTAAAATTCATTGAGTACATTCAATTTGTATGAAAAATAGTTTCAAATAGTTTTATCGTGTTTTCCAAATTTTATTTACATGTTCCATATCGAAAATGTGACGTAATTTCTATGCAATACGTACAAATTGATAATACTACTGCGCCATCAGGTATATTCGTCTGTAGATTGCTATTCATAACAATTACATTTTAATGTCTTTCGGGCGGAAAACATCATTGCGTGCTTCATATAACTCGGTTCCTTTTTGACTTTTTAATTACTGTATTCAGTGATCAATTCAAGATCCGATTCAGTTTGGCCATTTTATGAAGGAGCAACAAAGACAGCTATCAAAATTAGTCCTGGCCCGATGAAATACGTGATTTGATTTAAATCAAATTCATCAGCCGATCAAGTAAATCTAATTTCCAAAACGTGACTTAGGTTAGACCAAAATAATCACGTCAATAGGAAAATGAAATTTCAAAGCTTAATTTCAGCGGTGGTATTTTCCGGAGGGCAGTGCATTTGAGATCTTTAATTGTTATTGAACCTCTTCAATTTAGACCAAAATTCCCTGTCAGCTTTAGAATCCTTGTAAAAATGCGAATATGTTCGAATGTCCTAAGGGTATGATAAGAAATCAGCCTCTGCGAAGCATCAAAACGTACAAATATTTTTCGGATGCAGAAGAAAATGTGCTGGAATAACTTCACTATAATGTTGAAGGATCAGAGAGTAGATGTACTTTATCACGGCAATATCTTATATTTGGAGCATGATCTCATACATCTTTGATTACGTTCATGAATACACGAGAAATTAAAGTCGAACAATGCTCGGCGTAAGTTTTACGGCACAATATACTTAAAAGAAATGAGATGAGCGATATATAGGAACTCGTATGTATTGTACTCGTATATAGCGGGAAAAAGACACTCGTGTGCGATATGTACGTCAAATAGGGCCAGGAATTAATTAAAACCTTCATGAGGAGAAGATACATAATTATAATTTGAATTGTATGAGCGGAAGGGGCGTCATTGCTAACTATAATGTTTGATAAGTTGTATAAAATTTAAGGAATTTCGTTATTTCGTAATATTGATATTGTATGATTTTGGGGACAGCTCTTCTTTGACAACTCTGAACACGCTTTTAATAAGATACTTTCCTTAAAAAATTTCAGAATTGATTACGTGGAAGTCAGAGAAATTTTTTCTTGCTCCTAATTATGTAATAATAAGCGAAGAGCCTGATTCTCACCAGGGATAGAAGGCTTGCAAAATGTGACATAGGTAACGGGACGGAATAAAATAATTTTATCTATGTTCAGCACATCAAAAAAGTCGTAGAAGATGATCCACGATATTGTGAAAACTGAACGAGGCTATTGAAGTATGACCCTGTGGTGGGGGTAAAACCTTCCTGAACCGTACACACTTATTTATAAGCGCACAAACGCCATGAAATACCTCAATTAATTAATAATATAAAGAAGATAATTTCGAAACATCGCTCGCATTTCTTTCTTTCAAACAGACGGCAATCGTTGAGATAAAATGTACAAAATTATAATTTATTAATAATTAGTACAGATTACATGTATATTAGAAGTGAATCGATATAATAAATTCGCTGTGACTGTAAGATTTGTGTACCATTTTTCATTAGTTTTCCGTAGAGACAGCCCCATAAGAAAAAAGGTAAAATTAGTTTCTGCACACTTGGAAAAGACTCGCCGGAATTGTCAAACTTCACTTTCTTTCTGATTTGCTAATAATGGCGATAGGGCTGATGGCAGATCTCTTTTTTTAGTGGTGGCCGGTCTAACTAATGATGATTTGACTCCATGATCATCGGACTGCACTTTATATCCATACCCAGAAACAGGCACGGTGGAGTATACTGTTCTTTTATTGCCACTGCATCCACCATTGACAACACCACTAAGACTAACAGGACTGGGCGCCGTGACACAATCAGGGTTCCCAGGGCTTACGGTCAGGAGACAACTGGCTGCGGACGCGCCAGAAGGCATGCTCGAGTAACGAATTCTTGATCTTAGTGAAGAGCTATCGGACATCTCTGTGTCGCTGTACTGCAAAGAATCACCAGGTGACTGATCACTGCTGATGCTCGAGCGTCCAGGTATCGTATACATCAGCGGGCCAGCCTGACTCAGTGGTATAGAGATGGGAACGTGATACGCAGTCGGAGGATACGGCAGTGAATCATAATACTCTTTGGGATTGATGCGTCGGGAGTCAGGGTAGGCAGCGGCCGTATAAATAATGTGTGATGGAGATCTGAACGCCACAGTGGGGACTGTTGAGCAGGAATTCTGCGTGGAGATGGAACAGTGCCCACTTGACGGAGATGGGGAGGACGTGTGCAGTGAGTGGGATGGGGAAGGAGAAGAGGAATAGGCTGATTTTGGGATGATATGGTGCTGGGAAACTGGACTGCAAGGAGTATCCACCCCATCAGCAGACACGATGAGAGCCTGATGAGGTTCTGGCGAGTACTGGTGGGCCTGGATCTGGTAGACCACTTCAGGGTATAGCACCTGACCAAGAGCCATCTGCGTCAAGAAAAGAAGAAGATCAAATCGAAAGAATCATTACTAGACTTGATTAATATAATTGTGATGGAAGGTACGTTAACACGTTCCCTTGGTATCCGCGTTCTCCAGATTTAATAATCAATCTTTCGTGTAAACACAAATTTTCTAAAAGATAAAGTTTACCAAGTAAACTTCGAGTTATATGTGTTTTATCGAAACTGCGTAAAATATTGCGTTTGCTACACTGGTGTCCCAATACTCAACAGTGTAAAATCATTGTTGGTACACTTATGGTCCAATACGAGTGGAACGTGTTAAAATTGTTGATTGTTATGCAAGAACCGATCTTATATGGCGATCCTTTGTAAATATTATCGGATTAACGCGTCAGGGGCTTTTGTTTTGGTTCTTGTTTTCTTCCAATTTTGTTAAATTGAAAATTGTTTATAAATAGCATGAAACTCGGACATTACCAGTCATTAAAACTGAAATGACTTCCAATAAAATGTAAAGCTTTTCATGTGCGAAAAAGTATAAATGTTGACAGATCATAACATTTTTCATTACTTAAATGGGCTCACGGCGCAAAAACAACCTAATATATCTTTAACCATTTAAATTTTAAATATTTGAGGAGCCAGAATCATTCCTCGAAGTAACTCGAGCGAGCAAACTCCTCTCTATGCTACGCGTCCAAAAGACGCGCAAGAAACGTTTTCAGAGATCACAGGAAGGCGACAGACTGCACGCCAAGCAGACAATGTCCGTCCGCTGGGAGCAACGCACTCCCGCGATTACCGGCGGTCGCATTCTGCCGTCGGTTCTCTTAAGAATTACATACATGTTTTAGATTCTTTTGCACATCAAAGTGAGAATTTAGGAAAGGTTTCTAGTTATTACTCTTTCTATTGTCTTGCTTTCAAGTCGGATCCAAGTCTTGGAGTCTATACTTGAATTTGACGATTGCAGATTAGAGGTGAAATGTACGTGGCGGCATTTTATTATCAATCTATTGAGGTGCTTACAATAATTAAATAAATAATAAAATTACGTTTAAGGGGACCGCCTAACCTAAAATTTTCAATTTAGGCGTTTTCCACTTTTTGGGCTCATCTTAAAGCTCACTTTTCAACGCATTCAACGGTACCAGAATCATCCCTGTGCGTCTAAAAATGATTTCGTGACAGCTTCCCAAAGAAGGGCAGTTTTTAGGCCCTTTTCGTAAACAGAGTTGCTGGTAGAGGCGGGACGTAAACAGAGTTGCTGGTAGAGGCGGGACGTAAACAGAGTTGCTGGTAGAGGCGGGGCGTAAACAGAGTTGCTGGTAGAGACGGAACGTAAACAGAGTTGCTGGTAGAGGCGGGACGTAAACAGAGTTGCTGGTAGAGGCGGGACGTAAACATAGTTGCTGGTAGAGGCGGGACATAAATAGCTTCCTTGACGTAACCCCATAAGAAATAGTAACGTGGGGTAAGATCAGGTGATCTCGGTGGCCAAGAGTGTAATGCTGCCAAATCTATATTTCTATACATCCTACCTAACGTTTTAAAAGTGACTGATTCAAAAAGTTTGAATAGGTCCCGCGTTTGAATAGGTAAAAAAATGGAATGTTTCTCTTTCCAATGGTGTATAAATTATTTATTTTGGTGCATAAATAATTCTTAAATATATAAGAATTCATAAAATTGGGTTAATCATTTAAAATAACCGTGTATGATACTCTAATTGAAATGGCAAAAACTCACCTGCGAGTAATGTTTTTCCGACGACCTGAGGCTGTGAACGTCGCCAAATCCTCCTTCGACGGGCGTTGCTGTAAGACGCGTGTCGTCGTCCGCCGCACCTGCACCAGAAAACCAAGTTATATCGACTTGTGAAGTCGGTCCCGGCAATACAAATATTACAAGAACTTATTGACACTGCTGAGCAAGACTACAGTTCTAGACAGTAGGGGGTCTGTAAGCCGTCGTCCTTACGATTGATGGTCATAGATTCAATATTAATTATGCATTAACGTGCTTCGACATTTTTATAAGATCAGAATAATAATATTCATCTGTCGATGGATGCATTCAACAAATTCAAAACAAGCCCATTTTTACAACACTTCTCTTTAACTTCGCTTCTTGTTTGTCTGTTTGTCTGTCTGTCTGTCTGTCTGCTACAAATCTTGTAATCGAAATTTAACACACTTCTACTTATCCTATCGATCTGAAATTTTGCATACATGTTTAAAGTTGGAGACAATGCATGAATCAAATGTCAAAATAAATGATTTTATAAAGAAAAAAAAATTTTTTCAGTATTAAAAAAATTGAAAAAATAATTTTGTCAACTACAAATCTTATAACTGATATTTGACACACTTTTACCTGTCTAATTGATCTGAAATTTTGCACACTTGTGTGAAGTCAGAGGCAATGCATGAATCAATTAATAGAATAAATAATTTTGAAAAAAAAATTTAGTTATTAAAAAAAATCATATATTAAAAAAATTGAAAAATTAATTTTTTTAATATTCAAAAATTAAATGAGAAATTCATGGTAACTCTTTAAGATTGGAGACACTGGATTCTTTGGAAGTGTTGTCTTTAAAAAGTAATTTTTAAACGTATATTATTATACCTGTATTATATAGCCTAACCTAATGTATAATGCTAATGTATACCCGATCATATAATGATCGAGTATACATTAGCACAAGAGAATAATTTCACACTTATCTCGATTGACAATTGACTGAGTTGGCAACCAATACTAAATCAAATATAGATCAGACACTAGCTGGAAACATTGTTGCCAGACGGTATTTTTTCGGACAAATTCCTCGATTTAGTTTTTTCTTCAATTGCGTTGGCCGGCTAAACTTTATGATAGAGGTACTTCCTAATTAATTTTTAAAAACTACAAAAAATTAAATTTACACATTGGAACCTACGAATATACTAGTATACATTGAATTATAGGCCTTTTTTGTTCGCGGACTTGGCCATTTTTCAGGTCATCTGGCAACCCTGGCTGTAAATAGCGCTCACCACTAGATCTGAGATTATTCCTGAGACTTTATGCGTGCCACCGACTCCTCCAGTACAATTCCATAAAGGCCTGAATCAATTAAATTTTAATACTTATGAATCATAAAGCAACGAAATTATTCAGTGCAAAAATTAATCAATTTCATGGAAATTTAATATCAGTTCATTCGTGCACGAGGTATGCATACATCGAGGACGATGGACAAATTAAAAAAAAATAATAATTATATATGAATAAATAGATACTTGAGTTTTCCATTAAATTATAATTTCGATTTTGCCAAATGATTTTCTCGTTCTTGTGCAATAATGCGGGGATGTTTGTAGACGGAATAGCTATTTGTGCCAATTAAGTAGCCCGCAAAGGCAAGAAAAGCAATGAAGAGCGCATATTCAGTAGAATTTAGTTATACTTTTTTTTTTGAAAACTTGCTATACGATTATAGTTTTTTATGTTGACACCTGACAAATGATACCGCTTCAAAGTAATTTGTAACGAAACAATTCGACCCTATGGTTCCAAAAATCATGTGAAAATTGCTAAATAAGAGAATTTCATCACTATCCGACACGAAATATTTATTGAAAGTTGAAGATTAAAATGAAGATGAATTACATAAACTAAATGAGATTTCATAAGAATAATGGAGCATCAATAATGGAGCAATGAAACAACTTGAAGCATCACATCGGCAAACAACCGCCCTCAATCTCCTCCGGTCAACTAGCTCGATGAGGAAATACAATAATTATTGTTAAAAAGGTACGGTCTGGGAAGGACGAGTCTATCGAAACCTGACGAACAATAGGGCGATTCCAGCGATTACCACACCGAGCACCATAACCTACCGAGTGAAAACAACTGACTTCATATTAATCGCAGTATTTTTTAGACCTGCAGAGGCAAGCAGATCAGATTTAACAGCAAATGCAACCGCTGTCGACATCACAGGAACAACAACAGCAATTACAGGAACAAATAATACGACAGATGCTGAGCCAGAGACCTCTGACATGGCAGTGTTGCAGCAATTGATAACGCATGGAAGGAAGAATCTGGCATCGTGATAGACTGATAGCAAACATCGAGGGGCTCATCCAACGAAGAAAACACCACAAGATTGGCGTAGTTATATAAATTGCTGAGACAGAAGGAATAATGATCATGCTTGCCTTAACCGAGTCACGTCTAAGAGAGGATATCGAGGATGAACAAATCGAAATGATGGCTTTCAACATTACCGAGCGGACTGGAAGGAAGGGAGAAAAACGGAGGTGTCATAGTCTACTTCAGAAACTCACTCGCGGCAAAAAAATGCCCCAGCATTTAGGCTCCAATAAATATTTGGAACATGTTATACTGCACATTTCCCATCTCCAACTTTGTAAAGATATCGTACACTGGCCACCTGACTACCCGCCGGAAAAATACAATGAAACTCTCATACTACTGGGGGTCGGAGGTGAACATTGTTGGCATAGATCCACAACTTCCTAACTTAAAGTCTACAAGCTACCGTTGCTGGGGGCTCGAGATTGAGCCAGGCGAGTGAGAAGATTGGAGTACCATAGGGAAAGGCACTTGGCTCTATCTTCTTCCTCATCCACATCGACGACATAGATGTGGCAGCTAGTGAACCACATCTCTATATCGTGGTTCACACATCAGGATACTAATGACTATTACGGACAACACAGCCTGTGAGAGGTTGCAAGAAGACTTCTCTGCAATATATTACTGGGCCCAAGTGAATAACATGCAGGTCAATGGAACCAAGTTTGAGGCTCAGAGATGCAGAGTTTGCGGAAGAAATGGTACGGAGCGGCTACTTGGCACCTGACGGCTGGGAAATCGATGAGAAGCGACTCGTTCGCGATGTAGGAGTGTTGATGAATACGCCAGTTAAGTTTGGTGATCACTACAGCGGTAATAACCGCAGGAGGCAGGCGGCAGATGGGATAGATCTGGAGGACGTTAAGAACAAGAGAAGCGGAACCGATGAACACGCTCACTATAGTGAGCGTGTTAGAGAGCCCTAGTGATACCTCTCTGGGCCTCGTTCACAATCGGCGCATCTGAACGATGTGATCAGGAGGGCTCTTCAGAGCGCTGGCGTTCCTTCATGCCTTGAACCCGTTGGAGTGGACAGAGGGGATGGTAAGAGACCAGATGGCTTAACGGCTTTCCAAGTTCCTAATGGGAGGTGTTTGTGCTGGGATGCAACCTGCGTCGACACTTTTGCTGAGTCGCACGTCAATAATTCGGCTATTTCTGCTGGGTTCGCGGCCCGTGCGGCGGAGGATAGCAAGAGACGTAAATACACGGCGTTGGCAGCTCGGTCTCGTTTCGAGCCAGTCGCATTAGAAACGACGGGCACATATGGTGAAACGACTGGTCCTTTAATATCACAGATTGGCCGTCGCATTACGGAATTGTCCGGCGAACGTAGAGAGACTCTATGGTTGGAGCAAAGGTTGGGTTTGGCTGTGCAGAGAGGCAATGCAGCTAGCATCCTAACAGCAGTCAGAGAAAAGTTCGACGTGGGCCCGCTCCTCGCTCGCGTCACAGCTCAGTGACCCTCGGAGAAGGTGTAGGCCACCATCAGAGGCGTTAAGGTCGGGCCGGGCCCTGATCATTGACATGAAACCATTCCCTGTTTTTAATCAATAAAATTAATTCCTTTTTGTTGGAATGGTGAGTGTGGGAGGCCTTTAAAAAAATAATACAACAGCTGCTGAGACAGAGACCTCTGACATAGCAGTGTTGCAGCAATTGATAACGCATGGAAGGAAGAATCTGGCATCGTGATAGCCAACATCGAGGGGCTCTTTCAACGAAGAAAACACCACAAGATTGGCGTAGTTATATAAATTACTGAGACAGAAGGAATGATCGTGCTTGCCTTATTCGAATCACGTCTGAGAGAGGATATCGAGGATGAAGAATTGAAATGATGGCTTTCAACATTACCGAGCGGACTGGAAGGAAGGGAGAAAAACGGAGGCATCATAGTCTACTTCAGAAACTCACTCGTGGCAAAAAAGTGCCCCAGCATTTAGGCTTCAATAAATATTTGGAACATGTTATACTGCACATTTCCCATCTCCAACTTTGCATAGATATCGTACACTGGCCACCTGACTACCCGTCGGAAAAATACAATGAAACTCTCATACTACTGGAGGTCGGAGGTGAACATTGTTGGCATAGATCCACAACTTCCTAACTTAAAGACTACAAGCTATTGTTGTTGGGGCTCGAGATCGAGCGAGGCGAGTGAGAAGATTGGAGTACCATAGGGAAAGGCACTTGGCTCTATCTTCTTCCTCATCCACATCGACGACATAGATGTGGCAGGTAGTGAACCACGTCTCTATATCGTGGTTCACACATCAGGATACCAATGACTATTACGGAAAGGAAAACACAGTCTATGAGAGGTTGCAAAAAGACTTCTCTGCAATATATGACTGGGCCCAAGTGAATAACATGCAGGTCAATGGAACCAAGTTTGAGGTTCTGAGATGCAGAGGTTGCGGAAGAAATGGTACGGAGCGGCTACTTGGCACCTGACGGCTCGGAAATCGAAGAGAAGCGACTCGTTCGCGATGTAGGAGTGTTGATGAATACGCAAGTTAAGTTTGGTGATCACTATAGCGGTAATACTAATAACCGCAAGAGGCAGGCGGCAGATAGGATAGATCTGGAGGACGTTAAGAACAAGAGAAGCGGAACAGATGAACACGCTCACTATAGTGAGCGTGTTAGAGAGCCCTGGTGATACCTCTCTGGGCCTCGTTCACAATCAGCGCAGTGCGGCAACTGCAATGGGTTCAGCAAACCATCACTTCCAGGATCAGTTGGATAGAGGAGTTGAACTACTGGGGGAGGTATGAGCGCCTGGATCTGTACTCACTGCAGAGGAGACGAGACAGGTATATCATTCTGTGCTCATGGAAAATGATAACCGAAATGGTACCAAACTTTGAAAGCGAGACCTTCAGGATTGAAACATACCAAAACGTGAGATGAGGGAGCTAGGCTGTGCAGGATTCCCCCACGACGTAACAGATATGCCTTTAGATTTCAATCTCTGCGGGAATGATCTCTTTCTGCAGCAGGGCCGAGGCTGTTCAATGTCTTACAAAAGTATTTAAGAAAAGGTGAGTTCACCCTGGAGACCTTCAAGAGACGACTGGACGTGTTTGTGAGCACAATTCCTGATCGTCCGTCCCTCCACCACTCCCAGCGGCATGAACCAAGCAGCAGCATCGTGCATCAATAATTGGTCAAAATGATGGCGGATGCGCGATAGACAGAAGGAGCGATCCATCGTGGCCTGGGACTGCTACGTCTAAAACATATTCTATATATGGATACTAATGAGAGTATCAAGGGATGTAACTACGCATCGACATAATATTGTTTGCGAATCGAAGAAACAATATGCATGAAATCACTCGTGCAATGTTTTATTTAATGATTTATAATTGATTAATTGATATTTATCCAGCAGTATTTCCGCAATAATCCAGGTTAACATTCGAAAATTCAGTATGTGAGTCCTGGATCCGCTGGAATTGATGTTTTTGCAATTATCGAAGAGTTTTCGTGAACTGTAGAAAAGGTTTGTTTACAAAATCCATTGAAGAAGATTGATTTAGCATCTGTCCACCAAGAAAAACCATAGTCGGGTAGCGAATTTAAAAATATGATTGTTTTTCGCTCCACCCTAATGTTCACCAGCACGAGTAATTTTCCAAAACGATTGGTTTAGAATTGATAAAAAAATGGTCATTTAAAACCATTGAATCTCCCAAATAGAAAGGGAAACAACGTCCTACTCTCGGTAAACGCATTTTGCTGAAAAAGTAAAAAAAAATCATCATTCAATATTCAGTGTTCCTTGCATTGTTCACGATGAACAGCCATAAATACGGCGCAATTTTTTTCGTCGCCATTAGCCTTTCCAGCTAATGAGAGCACCTCGGACAAAAGATGCGCTCGCTTAACAATTATCTAAAAATGAGAACGAGGAAGACAATGATCTCTTTCTCACATGTCATGATTCAATCTTAAAGTTACGACGTCCATGCTGGGTATTTTTTGATCAAATGATCAAGTGTCACTACACTAGATTCTCCCAATGAGATAGAATAAAATTTTATAAACACCTGCTTTGAATAGACGAATAAGTTGAACGATCAAAATATTTTACGCTAAAATGCACCAACCTCTATTGGGAATCAGATCAGGATCCTCATTTTTAGTTCCAGCGGCGGCAACTTTAGTTTTCGACGGCCGTTTCTTATCTTTCTTGAGACGCACGACGAGCACGGCGACCAATGCTATCAAGACGAGACTCCCGAGGACACCGACGACGCATCCCAAAATTTGGGCGATAGGCACGTCAGAGAAGTTATTTGCCGAGGGCTGGCCCATCACGGGGGCTATGTGTCGCTCTGTGGAATCTCTGTCAGTGTAGCCTCGCATGATCTTCATTGCTGAGCGGCCTTTGGAGTTCTTGGCGTATATTCTGACCACAAAGCTGGTCTCACCAGCGATACCTACGAGCTGGAAGTAAGGAGTGGTCGTCTCTGTGATGTTCAACAATAACCTTCGAGTTCGCATGTCGATGACCTCAGCCACGAACTCTTGCTTCAGACCCCCATCATATCCAGGCTCGCAAATGACAGAGAACGTTTCATTGGGATGGTTTCTGAAGGTACAGTTCTCAGGCGCATCCGGAGGTTCAGCTGGCACAACTCTAAAGACACAAGGCTCCTGTTGCATTCCTAGGATGTTACTGCCCCAGCACAAAAGGGTCCCGTAATCTAGTTCCGACTTCACTGTGTACTGCAGCAGAGAACTGAGACCATCAGACGCGACATATTCGTCTTTGAGATCGACGACGTCGCCGCTGCTATTGAATCGCCAGCTGAAGGCCACAACGGGCGGCGAAGCCTCCAGACGACACGACACCGTGATGGTCTCCTCACGAGCCGCGCCGTACACGCGCGTCTGGTCTCCAGCGCAGGTCGGGCTGACTGCAAAACATTTGAAAAATATAAATAATATATATTTTTTTAAATTTAAATGTCATACGATCGATCAAGAAAAGACTCTCCACTTGTGCTCCGTCATATTTGTTACTAATATGAAAAATGCAAAGAAGTATCCAAATTAATTAAGGGAAGTAGAAAAATAGTATATCGAATTCAATCAGTTGATGGAACTTATTACTTTTAATGGTTTTTGATGTTACAGGAGGAGGAAACATTGAATTTGAAAAGAAATTTATTTCAAGAATAACAAACACTTCTCTTCATAACTGAGCTNATTTCAGGCATGAATATAAAAGCAGTTCAATTCAAGCAGATGATTAAAAGTATATATAGAGCCAAGAAGAAAAGACGCTCAGCAGGAATCGATAACTGGGCTTCTTTCCACAACCGCTTGACGTTGAAAAATATAGCCAACAGGAGACATGCGTGTCTTTCTGAGCGCAATTATCAGCTAATTCAATCATTAGCTCGAAAAAGTATAAATTGTACGAGCCTCGACGATCTTCTCTGAAGAAGATGCGGACCAGTGGAAAGTCGTCTTGTTTATAGGCTCATCCGCGTTGCTCATCAAAATTAATATGAGAGCTTTTCAGTTGTGCTAAATAAAACCTTCGGTGAAGGCTTGTATTGATAAGGGGCCTGAACCGTTTTTACAATGATTAGAACTAACAGTAGCGTCATATCAACAGTCAACACCCGGGCTCCGAGATCACACAATAAGTGAAGTGTATAGCAGTCATAAAGCTCCACTTTCTACTTAAGTAAATTGAGTGGGACAGACAAACGCAGTCTTATAGACAAGCGTACGTAACACTATACTTCGGATCAAGAATTAATCTATAGAGCTGCTGGTTCTTGAAAATTTCATAATATAAATGATATATCTTATAAATGCCATAGATGTACAATTTTAAGTGCAGCAGGTGCTAGGTAACTCAGCTACTACAAACACGAATATTCGGCAAGTAAAAAATTGCTAGAGGTCGAGATAGACGAGATATCGATATTGAGGCAAGAAATTATCGGTGTTTGATCTGACGCTAACTCCCTCGCGGATTCTCGCTGCTTTTAGCGCCTAGAAGAAATCGGTTCATTTTATGCGGACAAGCTAATTGGATAAACTGCGGCGCGAAGCCAAGGAAGGAAACGAGAAAAAAGCAGCTACGCAAAGGATACGGTAAAAATTTAAAAACATTCCATGTATTCATTGGTAAATTAATTATATAATAATAATAATAGCGGTTTCAGCGTTTATTAGGTCGTAGGCCTGTCGCCGATTCTTAACATGGCAGAACATTCACAGCATTTTGAGGTCTCGAACGCGCATCTCACTGCTACAATTCTGCTGTGCTTAACCGCCCGGCCTCCTCGCCGATTCTGACCAGAAACTGGCGCACAGAGCTGGGATCGAACCAGCTCTCGGCGCCAATCTTGGTACTCTGAACTGTAACCACTTAGGCCACCCTAGTGGTTTCAGTTCTCAAGTTAACTTAATTCTTAAGTTAACCAATTAGCTTAAGTTAACCAATTAGCAGTTCTTAAGTTAACCAATTAACTTAAGAAGACTAAAATAAAGGGAAGATTAATTGACTAATCAACTGAATCACAGAGTTGCCAATGAAGATGGTTCTTATTTTACTGAGATACTCCCGTCAAATGTAAATATATCAATATTTTAACTTATATTTATATTTCAGCGACGCATATTTCTACGAAGTTGGAAGCAGCTGAACTCGAAACATCAACACGATTTACATATATTCATGTATACTGGTTTCAACTGAGGAGATAAAGCCACTGACTCAGTTATGCTATGTCAATACATATTCACATTTACTTGACGTGCGGTGCTGCAGACTGACATTGGACGACGAGGTTGAGGTGTTGGCTGCGGGCGTCGCCCTCGGTGTTGGCGGCGGCGCAGGCGTAGCTGCCCGCCTGGGAGCGCCTCACGCGCTGCACCGCCAGCGACTGGTTGCTCACGATCACGCCATAAGACACGTTGTGCTGCACCGACGAGTTCTGTTGTGCCAACGAATACAACTAAGTGAATTTTTTCGGATTAATGTAATATAATGATAAAATTAATCTAACGTATACGAAGTATTCATGAACTATTTTGCAATGATGTAAACAATTTCGATATAGAGAATGCAGACTATCTTTGCTTGTTGATTGGATGAAAGAAGGTAGATGATGGCTACAGGTATATTTTTTTACTGATATAGATTAAACAATTGCATTATTGTAAAGTTTTATTATAACTATGACGAAGCATTCTGCAAGTCAACTCATTAAATTATATGTGTAAGTTGAGTTGAACTAATTGTCTTTGGTGAAATTTTCCTCTGTGAGTAGATGTTGCCGATGATTAATGAAACATCGGATGCAAGTGAAGTTGAACGACTATTCCACTGACCAGGCCATTAAAACGACATAATTTTAGTTACGAGGCTATTAAAAAGAACGGTTATTTTATCCGTAGACACAGCGCTAAGAAAGCGTGAAAAGGTACAGTTCTAGCGACACATTGGTAGAAGTGATATAACATAAATTTGTCTCGTTTGAAGACATTCGTTCCAAAAACATAAACCAAGAGAAATAAAAACAGGATTGATTAGTTTCACCAGAGTACAAAATGAGTATTGGTCGTAAAATTTCGGATTTGTGTTCATCAACGACAATAGATTAGCAGGTAAACCCTGCGTAACGAGACGAGCAATAATGTGATGTGGCCTGATCTGTAATAATGTCCCGTCTGATGTACACTACAACGAGCCTGACGTGTTTATACATCATTTTAATATATAACTATTGTTATGCCTGCTACAGATTGTGAGTATGATCGAAATCGAGCCCTGAAACACGGGTACACCTTGATATATAAAAGCAAAAAAAAAAACGAAAATTTATCATATCTTTATAGAAAACGTTTGGGAGTCCAGCTTCAACATCAGTTCGAAAATTAAAAAAAAAACAGATGCAATCAGTAGATAGTGCAGTTGAAATTTCTAAAACAAATAAGTCAAAACTTAAATCCACAAACATATGAAAAAGCAAGAAATTTATATTTAAATTTTCCAGTGCATATATAACAGCTGAAGTTTGCATTCGAATTAGGCCTCTGTTCAGAAACATACAAGTTTTATAAAACACGCAATTCGAAAACGCCGAAAGTGGAAGCTGAAACTTGAAAGTCACTATCAGATATAGGGACGTCACGCAGCTCTGCGTCAGTGAACACAGCCGAATGAGAGGGACGGGAAAATATGTGGCCTGTCCTATAACTCCACTCTTTGTGCTCTGCGACCCTAGGAAAAAAAATGCGTGACGTCATATACCAACGTACGCCGATGCCCATCGTGCAAAACTTTAACTAGAAACGGTTAAAGGCCGAATAGGAATAGGGCCGAAGTACGAAATATTCCTATTGTCGCGCAATAGAGTAGCTTTGCTGCATCGCTGGGACATGAATTTTTTTACTCGGGTAAACACTAAATTATTCGGAAATCCATATAGCGAAAAGAAACTGCGCAAAATTCCAGTTCACCGTGGATGGCATATATGGTGTGTCAAACAAATACGAAACCCCTGGTGTAAAAATGTTTGAATACATTTATCTTGAATCTAATTGAGCAAAAGATAAAAAAGCAGGTTCTTAGACCAGTAAAAGTTGATTTTTGGAATACAGAAGTCTGAAAACGGCCATTAGATAAAGTAACGTTGCAATTGAGGAGGGACCGACTATTGCTTGATTCAAGCTCCAAGGTAAATTTGACGGAATTATGTGTCATGTTTACGTAATGGAAGAAAAGATTGACGTAAGAGGAGATGCTTGAGAATAAAAAAAATATAACTCAGTACCCACTGCAGTGAGTGACTGCATGAGAGCGCATTTTCTCGTCGACGAAAACGTGGTCATGGACGGACGGACGGGCAGACGGACAAAGAGACGGACGGACATGACGAGCACAATAGCGCCTTTTTTCCATAAATGAGAAAATGCGCTAAAAATGGCATCGACGTATCTATCGTAGGATACTAGCCTAAAATCGAGAGGATGTTTCGCCAGCTGAGAAACATCGTGAAACACCAAAAAATATTAGCAGGGGTTGGGGAGAGCGGAACACCCATGCCCAAACCGTCAATCAGTCGGAAAAACAATCAAGCTAACATGAAAAAAGAGTTTAGAACCGATGCTAACAGAAGAGATTGAAAAATTACGGTTCAAACCAATAACAAGGTCATTTATATTTTATATAAATGACCATTTATATATTTATAGATATTTATAACAGAGAATCGAGAAAAATTTAATTTGTTACACGTATTGATGTATCAGTAAACAAATTTTCCACGTCAAAAGAAGCCATATAATTAATTTCTGAACGTCGGTAAAATACATCGAACGGTTCACGAACGTACATGTATTGCCTACACTATACTGGTTAGTCGTAAGACCGTTCACAACCGGTACCAGAAACGTAGAAAGTTTAAACCTGGAAGAATTGTTGGCGCCAAAAATTGTTGAAATTGGAACTTTGATGCAAAATCAGACTTATAAATTTTAGGCAAGCCATACCAGGACTTGAAACAGAGGCGTCAAGTTTAAAAGTTTCAATTGGAAGGGCAGATGAATTTTTGGCACAAATTTTCATCAAAAATTGTGCCAATAATAAAGTTGATACCTCTAAATGAACAAATATTATTGATGCACCAAGCTAGCACGCCAAGTTTGCTTCAATGATGAGATTGAGACACTGACTCTGATGCCAAGAAAAGGATTTGGCAGCAGCCACTAGCAGGACAAGCCAGCTCTGATTGTAGAGGATGGAAATGCAACTTTTATAGATATCTTCTATATTGATATTTTTTTTAATCAAATGGCTTCAGACTACCGTGCGATGTTGCCGGATCCGCTCTGAAGCGGGATATTTGTAGCTCTGTAGGATCACTTGATCTGCGCCACCAAACGGGACAGGTGTGTACTGCGCACGGGATAATTTGATATTTTTAAATAGGACCATTATTGTGAGCTTCAATGTAACCAGTAATATATTTGTGTGATGTCAACCTGTATGGCTTAAGGTGTCTACTAACTTTGTGTGATTTAGTTTTAGACATGACCCATTGTGTACGTTTAGTGTCTGTAATAGTTTTATCTCATACAGAGAGACCTCGAAGTCTTGATCAGAAGTCGTGACCCAAATTTTCAACTTACACGCACTCTGTTTATCTTACCGTCATTGTTGAATGAAAGTTACGCATTGATCGTCCTTATTCTTCTGTCGGTTACTGTGTTGATCTGCAAGAAGTATAACGGACCGTTGTTGGGTTATTTCGGATTGGACAAAGTCTCACGTTACGCCCAGTTAATTGGTACTGGCCCCGTAACATGATCAAATTAACTTGTCTGCTCACGTTATGGAACCACTCGATCTTGTAGATCTTCGGATTGGACCTGATGACACACTCGAAGTATACGTCGCTGCCTTCACGTATGTTTTCGGGACTCAACGATGACCCAAGACGAACTTCTACCTGTGGAGGATCTGATGAGGAGAGAACAATTAGGCTGCCGATTACAGAAAATACACAGGCTTTAATGGCACAGTAATTATCCTGCAGTTGTAGAAGTGAAGGTGTTAAATAATATGACTGGCGATTAAGCAAGAAAAATTGCAATACGACGTCGACTATGAGAAGAAATTATTGAACGAACGAATGAACGCCTTTCATGAACAAACGTGAAAAAAATGAGTGAAGAGGATAGAGCAATCTACCAGAACTAAAAAATATAACTCAGTACTCACTGCAGTGAGTGACAGAGAGCGTATTTTCTCGTCGACGAAAACGTGAATTCACGAACGGACAGACAGACAGACAGACGGACAGACAGACATGGCGAGCAAAATAGCGCCTTTTTCCATAAATGAGAAAATACGCTAAAAAGAGAAAACCAGTAACTAAAAGGCGAGGGAGAGATGACGAGATGACATGACAAGATAAGATAGCAATCTCGGGGTAACTTCAAGAAGGAGTTATTGAAGGTGAGTTCGAAATTACATGTTGCACTGGTTTGCTCACCAGTACTAATACATGAATAAAACGACCTGAACTTACAATGTTAGGACTCTGAACTAAATATTTATAATTATAGATCTCATAGACTGTTTTATTAAAGCGCGATAGGTCATCATTGATGCTAATAAAAACGGCAACATCGGATCCATTTAACTAATATTAAAATATATTTTAGAAGAAGGCTTCAATAAGCAATATAAAATAATGGCGTTTCAACAGCTGGAAATTGGTACGGATACTATAATTTTACTCCAGTCGTTCCTGTCTTACAAATAGAAGTAAACATTTAACGATAAAAAAACTGTTTTTTTTTAAATTCACGGTTCGTATTCATACTACCAAGATCTACCATTTTCTTACAGAAAATTTGCAGCCAAAATATCTGGAGCTGTTCGCAAAAAAAATCTTGAAAATTGCCTAGAAGACCTCAGCTGCCACAATAGAAGAAACAAATCATTGGTTTGTTTTATAAACAGTTCATCTCTAACAAGGTGCATTGGAAATATGCAACAAGAAATGAAGCAATAAATTCTTTCATAGCGCGCGCAGTTGACGCGCAACAAAAAATTGCACTTGTACGGAAAGAAAAGTGTAAAGTTAACGGTTATCGCGAAAAGTATAACGGTTAACTAAATGACAAATATTTTCATTTCGGAAGAGTTAGACTCAATTAAGTAACTTCCGGCAGTAAAGTAATTTCAGTGCGACGCTGAGTGTTTAGTCAAATACTTTTACTTGATATTCCACGCTTCACAAAATGCTTGAGGAAACACATTTTTGCCAGATATATGTACACTGTACAGTAGCCCAAAATGTATCAATATCAAAATCTTTATGTAAATATTAAAGGCTCGATAAAATTTACTAATCAAACGAAATATATGTTCTGAACGAAAAATTTATCATACTCATACTAAGCAGAAAGATTACTTATTCATATACACGGAGTTTTCTACTCTCAATAAATAAATATCCTTAATAAGCACTAAAAAATTCAAATAAAGTTTTCATATAATACTCACAATATATTTCAAGTTGCCACGTGTCTTCTATAGGCCGGTGCCTGATGACGGGCGACTGAGCGCGACATGTGAGGGATACGGAGTTGAGGGAGGCCGTGGCGTGGACGCGGGCCGTTGAGAGCGATTTATTTGCGCCGCCACTCTGGTAACAAGGTCGAGTTTATCAATACACGTGTGACAACGAGGCAGATAAAACCAGCGACAACATGTTAATAGCACCGCTTTTCTGATGGTAACAAGGTCGAGTTTATCAATACACGTGTGACAACGAGGCAGATAAAACCAGCGACAACATGTTAATAGCACCGCTTTTCTGATGGTAACAAGGTCGAGTTTATCAATACACGTGTGACAACGAGGCAGATAAAAC